ATTAAAATGAAGTGCAGTGCACAAGAGCCATAACTCCATTTTGACAAAATACAGAGTTACTGCCCTTTGATACTTTTCCTTGTCCGGAGCATAACTTAAAACGTACTGGTTGGAATTCAAAACAACTTCATACAATGGTCAAGCACAATAAGGGGAAGTGCTGTTCACAAGAACTATAACTCTATCTTCAGTATTTATAGAGTTATTGCCCTTTGTTCTTTTTCTTTGTCTTTCTTGACTTATTACAGAGTAATTCAATTAAACTTCATCAATGGTCAATCACATTGAAAGGAAATGCAACATACATGAACCACAATTATCTTTAATTGCCCACAACCACAACTCTATGTTTCAATTCTTTTACAAGGTATTCTGTTACTAGTAACATCCTCATTTCCGAAGCAGACTTGTGGGGGTATTAATCACATTTAGTGATAGTTCTAGTTATATTAGCTTTGATAGGTTTAAGATAATGCCAGTAAGATGTACTTTAAATTTGTGTGTATATAATAATTATAATATACTGACCAACATGAAAACTTCCATCTCAATATCCACAATATTGATAATGAATACATGTAGTTTCAAATATTGATAAAAGATAGTTCCAAAAATGGAAGATTAAGTAAAACTTTTAATCAATTTTGTTTGAATTAAAATGGCATGTTGTTTTATTAAAGATTCAATGCACATGCTATATTTATCAAAATTTTAGTTCCATCTTTTTTTCTGGAACAGTGGTATTAAAAAGAGAGTTTATGGTAGTTGTATTATTGTACTTTACTGAACCACTGTATAACAACATATCTTGTGATCTATGAATGAATGACCATGATTATTGGGAAACAATTATATATATCTATTATTAGCCATTCATAGATGACCTGTACAGAAGGGGTTAGACATTATTGACTATGGTTATATGATATTGTAGTTTTGAAATAATTGTTCAGAGATTTTGTTTGGACATCAGGTCTGTCAATCCCTCGAGAAAATGTGCTAATTATAAAAATGATATTTTTCTTAATGAACAGTACTGTACTGGTAGTCAGTACAAAACAAAAACAGACTTTTTTTGCTGAAATCATTTAGTATTACGAGGGTTGTTCAAAAAGTAATAGGACTGCAGCTCTACTGTTCACATTTTTAGCTCACCTGTCACAAAGTGACAGGGTGAGCTTTTGTGATCGCTTTTCGTCCGGCGTCCGTCCGTCGTCCGTCCGTCCGTCCGTCCGTCCGTAAACTTTTACTTTAAATGACATCTCCTCATAAACCACTAAGCCAATTTCATCCAAACTTCACAGGAATGTTCCTTTGGTGGTCACCTTTAAAAATTGTTCAAAGAATTTAATTCCATGCAGAACTCTGGTTGCCATGGCAACCGAAAGAAAAAACTTTAAATATCTTCTTTTAAAAAACCGTAAGAGCTAGAGCTTAGATATTTGGCATGAAACATCTTCTAGTGAGTGTCTACCAAGTTTGTTCAAATAAAAGCCCAGGGGTCAAAATTGGCCCCGCCCCGGGGGGTCATTGATTTTCCCTATATACATATAGTAAAAACTTAAAAAATCTTCTTTTAAAGAACCAAAAGAGCTACAGCTAAGATATTTAGCATGAAACATGTTCTAATGGGTGTCTACCAAGTTTGTTCAAATAAAAGCCTTGGGGTCAAAATTTGCCCCGCCCCGGGGGGTTATTGATTTTCCCTATATACATATAGTAAAAACTTAAAAAATCTTCTTTTAAAGAACCAAAAGAGTTAAAGCTAAGATATTTAGCATGAAACATGTTCTAATAAATGTCTACCAAGTTTGTTCAAATAAAAGCCCTGGGGTCAAAATTGGCCCCGCCCCGGGGGATCATTGATTTTCCCTATATGCATATAGTAAAAACTTAAAAAATCTTCTTTTAAAGAACTCAAGAGCTATGGCTAAGATATTTAGCATCAAACATGTTCTAATAGGTGTCTACCAAGTTTGTTCAAATAAAAGCCCTGGGGTCAAAATTGGCACCGCCCCGGGGGTCATTGATTTTCCTTATATGTGTATAGCAAAAACTTAAAAAATCTTCTTTGAAAAAACCCAAATAGCTAGAGTTAAGATATTAAGCATGAAACATCTTTTAGTGAGTGTTTACAAAGTTTGTTCAAATAAAAGACCTGGGGTCAAAATTGGCCCCGCCCCGGGGGTCATTGATTTTCTTTATATGTGTATAGCAAAAACTTAAAAATCTTCTTTGAAAAAACCCAAATAGCTAGAGTTTAGATATTAAGCATGAAACATCTTCTAGTAAGTGTCTACAAAGTTTGTTCAAATAAAAGCCCTGGGGTCAAAACTGGTCCGGCCCCAGGGGTGTCATTGTTTTTAACTATATGTGTGTAGTAAAAACTTTAAAAAAATCTTCTTTCAAAAAGCCCAATGAGCTAGAGCTTAGATGTTTAGCATTAAACATCTTCTTATGGGTGTCTACCGAGTTTGTGCAAATAAAAGCCCTTGGGTTAAATTGGCCCTGCAACGTTGGGGGGTGGGGGTTGGGGGCCTATATACAGGTGAGCGACCTCAGGGCCATCATGGCCCTCTTGTCAAATTTACGTACACAATTTTACATGAGACAAATATCGGAACATGTTCTCTATATAAAGTGAAGAAATCAAAACAAAATGTAAACAAATGAATTTTCTGTGAAATTTTCAAATGACAAGGGGTACGAAACGCGGCGCACGCTAACAGTACAATAATTGACGTTCATGACGTCGTAGAATAAATCGAAATTGTAATAAGCGTCATTCTTTCTGAAAGTAGTCTCCCTAGTCTCTAGGTGTATGAGTCATGTAACTTTTACTTTGCCTCATTTGTGGAGATGAAGCAAGAAAAAAAGCGATCACATTCTCGTTCCACTGTTTCAAAAAAAAATAAATAAAGTAAATTCCCGATAGCCGGCCATTCTCCGGGTTTTCTGGTGTTTTCAAGTAACCGTGGAACTCAATAGAACTGAAAATGTTAAAGCAAAAGCAATTTATTTTATTAATTTACTCATGTCATTGTATGTTTTAAAACAATATGATTATATACAGAACAATAAAGATATTTCTCAATAGAAAAGTATCATTTTCTACTTAGCACAGTCTATCGTTTATTAAAACAAGTTTTCGGGAAACACTACTAATTATTACCGTTAACTATTACATTAATTTATTGATTACACGTATATCTAGTTAAATACAATAAAATAGTGTTTATAACAAATGTCTTATTTATAATCCTTTGGTTAAAACTGAATAAGTAGACCCGAAGCAGATACAAACAACGATAAACAGTTCGCGTACCGTTTACCGTGGATTCTTTTGTAGCGCTTTTGCAATTGACGTCACTAACGTCCCGTCAATTTTCAACTTTCATCCTCGCCCTTTCTCGTTAGTGATCTTGTATTTGCAGTTTTTGAATTACTTGTGCCAGCTGAAAACAAGTGTCCTGATGGCAGGATAATTGTCCTTTGTTTATTTAATCATCTGAATGATTATAGTCAATCTCTTGGCAAAATTTAACGATGGCACACATTTTCTGTTTGTTAACAAATGTCATATTTCTACATCTATCGCTATGACCGCTGCTGTTCAAAACATAATAAATAGGCCATTTTATGTCCGAATGACGTCAAATTTGGACATAATGTCACATTATTATATTTCAACGTATTGATGGAATACAGGGGAAAACAAACAGTTATTTATTTATAAATTAGAAGTAGAACTTGGCTCCAATAACTATAATTATGTGCTGCGCCGGGTGCGTGTTACCATGGTTATTCAATAGCAAAGGAAAAGCGCGTTTAGCACAATAGATTAAAAAAAACTTATAATTGATTTGTAGAAAACATTTTACGATTGCTGTACATATGAAAATATTCTAAATTGAATGCAACTTGAATACGCAAGACTCCCAGTCCTATTACTTTTTGAACAACCCTTGTATAAAAGGTCATAGGAAAACAGTTACAAATTGCAAATCCTGGTTTTTTTGTAATGACTTCATTGTGTACATCATGAAAGTAAAACAAGTTTCCTGGAATGAAATAGTCACTCTGGTAAAAAAAGAAAACACTATATAAAACCCTGTTATTGACATTATCATTTAGTTAATAGTTTTAGTCTTTTACAAGTCAAAGTGACACACAAAAATGTTGAGGAAGTTAAACAGTATAAGGTACTGAAATATCTTAAATACAAAATTTATAAATATTGAAGAACAAAAACATAATAAAAAAACATGATGTAAAATGTAACATGTTCACATTTTTTTAAAAGCAAAATTGAATTATTTTTAACTTATGAAAAAAAAATTACACAATGCATGCCAGTATTAATGCAGGTATTAAAACAAAATGTCATGAAGGGAAAACAATTTCATATAAAGCCACATGTCATTTCCATACAACTTAGTATATAAGAAAAAAGCATTCTTCAAATTTTGCACAACTTTATAAAAAGTCACTGTAGACACAAGCCAATATAGACTGTAGGTAATCTATTTATCTTTGTAATATGAAGTTGTGAACGTAAATGAAAAATTAATAAATGAAAGTGATTGCTGTTTTTGTAAAACAGATGAATATGAAAATATATAAAATTAGTTTGAATATTTTTTGGAGATGAATGATTATTAGGAAAGTGAAATTTTAACTTGTGATTGAATGAGTGTAACGAAAAGAAGTGTTTTCTAATTCTATGTAACAAAATATTTGTAATCTGTTATGTTTATGTGATACTAGATATAAGTACTTTAGTTTATTCTAAAAAAAATTGGTTGAAATGATTTGGTATTATAGCTATTAAACTTTTAAACTTACATGAAACCGGGGCAAGCAAGTTTTCAATGCATGTTTTTTTAGTAAAAACATATCAATCTTATGGTAGTTTCATTTTTTTGTAGTAAAAATGTTCCTGATATTTAAATGATGAAAGATTCGCTGTTATTTTATATAAAATTATTTATTATTTTCAGATCAGCTATGAAGGCTCTACGCTGCCCATTTCTTACGCGTGTATCTGTGAATCAGATTACCCAGAATGCTCGTAGTCTGCTCACGAACCATGTTGGAAGTTGTCCTATTATGACAAGAATGATGAGTTCTGTACAGCTAGAAAATGTCACCCAGTCTCAAGGTGAGTTTAATCATGTAGAATAAAACACACACACAGTGGAAAATTGTTCATTATAATTGTAAACATGTGTTGTAGTAATATTAATTTTTATAATAAGATTTATGTGTGGTATAAATGTCAAGTTAATATATTGATTTCCTGCCTTTAAAATCAAACTTCTCCAACTGTCGACAATCTCCTGGAATAGACCCTTATGTCTATAATTTATAAATTATTATACATGTCCTACAAATACAGAATAAGTCTACTGCATATAGCCCTGGTTGTGAACCTGGGTTCTTATCCCAGATATAGCCCAAAATGTCTTGTCCCATATACCCAGTCTGTCTGCTAAATAGCCTCCTGTCAACAACAAAACATTTTAGGGACTGTTCAAATAGAGCTTTTCTGTTTTATAGTTACTTTATTGTATAGAGATAAAGATATATTCTATAATTTTTATTGCCTTTACTATTATAGAGAATAAGCCTGAGAAAAGCAAGTGTCCATATCTGGCAAATGAGTTAAAGACAGTTGCCCCAGTGAGTCAAGAGGTTCAAGATGATGTTATACATGTCCAAGGTATGTTTTAATTTCATATCAGAAACTTTTGTTCATATTCATTAGAAAATTGTTAGTTTAACTTTATTATATTAATTTTGTAACATCTGCAAATATTAATTATAGCAGTAAGTAAAGTGATGTGCATTGTGTTATATATTGATTTGGTTTTATGTACAATACTTTAAGTTTGCAACTTTTATCCCACAAGACAAACCCAAAATACTTCTGATTCAATATATCTTGTATTAAAATGTAAATTTTTCATTGAAAACTCAAAAGAAAAGAACAATTTTAGTCGATAAAATGCTGGACTGTGCTATTAGTTATAGTTATAAGCACATTAAATACATCTGTTGCGGATTTTAATTGGAGACATTTCAAATGTATTACAACTTTAAGGCTGTGATATACCTCTGTTATATTTTAATGTCACTGAATGTAAGAGTTTTATCTGTCCTGGAACAATTTTGACCATAAAAATTTCATATTGCACATACAGTATTATCATTTTAGAGTATTTTCTGGTAATTGAGATATGTTATTTCAGTAGGTAAGACCAGAAGACCTGAGAGTGACATTGATGATAATACAGTAGACGGTAACCAGATTTCTCTGAAGACAAAGGAGAAATTGACAGAGTTCATAAAGGTCTCTCCAGTGCTAGAAAACTTGGCTAATGTTGAAGTTGAGATGACAGGCTTGACTCCAGAGAGAGAAGAAATCCCACTGAAGAAGAAGAGTCCCTCAGACAGAGGTGGAGGTCCTACTTGTGTGTATTTCTGCACACCTTACTGATATCACTAACATACCATTATTGTTCTAATTAATCATAATAATTGTTGTTATTTACATAAATTTAGTCACTCATTATCATTGTGGTCAGAATTTGTTTTCCTTACAATGCATTTCCTGTATAGCATGATATGTCCTGTTACAGGCCAGGATTGGCTTGAATAAACCTAAACATTGCTTATATAAAGCTAACCAATCAAATATAAATACAAGCACTTTGTAAAACTACTATATCCTTAAATGTCACCTGACATTTTTTTTCTAGGGGGGGGGGGGGAAGGTTTTTGTCAGTTTCTTATTATCGGTGAAATTTTCTCCATCTTCACAAAATTAATACCCCCATTGTCCCCTTTATATGATAAATATATGGGTTGATTTCTTTGACTTTGAACGAACTGCCCCCATCCCACCATTACTACATTTATTACTGCCTTGATAACTGCCTCTCATTACTATGGCTGCATATCCACCAGGGACATTGGATTCTTTCATGTGAGGAAACTATGCTGTCTGTTTATGGAATGTTGGTGGTTTTACTCAATACCTGCTTTAATGTGAAATAATTCAAGGGGGTGACCTTGGGTCTTTTCCAGTATAACTGTACAGTTTTAGGAAATACCCATGAGGGAAGGTCATTACACATAGCTATATTTGAGAAAGAAAGTTTAGATAATCAACTTAATGCTTAATTTACACTTTATCTTTGTATTTCCCCTGTATAGAAAAACAACTGTTAACATGCATAGTTATATAGAAGTTTTATTATAATGAAACAGAAACATATTATATTGATATACTTTATATCAGAGTTGATTTAACCACAATGTATTATATATATTACTTTCTGTCCATTTACAGCTCCAAATACAAACCTGTTTAACTACGAGAAGTTTTTTGATGGCCAGATAGAGAAGAAGAAGCGTGATCATTCATATCGTGTATTTAAGAAAGTGTTACGTAAAGGTCCAATGTTCCCACTAGCTGAGGAACACACCAACACAAAGAAGAAGATCAGTGTCTGGTGTAGTAATGATTATCTCGGAATGAGCTGGCATCCTAAAGTAACAGATGCTGTCAAGTAAATATACTTCCTTTCATTTAAATCTAATATAATGCTGTCAAGTAAATATAGTTCCTTTCAATTAATTCTAAATGCTGTCAAGTAAATGTACTTCCTTTCAACTAATTCAAAATGCTGTCGAGTAAATATACTTCCGTTCTGTTATCTCTGAATGCTGTCAAGTAAATATACTTCCTTTTGCTGTCAAGTAATTCACTTCCTTTCGTTTAACACTTTATTTGCTGTGGACAATAATGGCGGAGTATATAACAAGGGGTTGGTGACTTAATCATAATACTATTAACTTGTATGACAAATCAAAAATTGAAACATGATGAGATTAACACTTCTTTGGGTATCAAATAGTAAAATAAATTACTGTAAGTTTTTTGCTTTTATAATGATTAGTTAATACAATATCAGAAAATTTAATAATAATTAATGAATAAACAAATTCATGTGTGAGATATGGAAGATAATGATGTCATTAAATTTTGCTCTTTATATATTCTAATATCATATCATTATTTTAATGAAATGTTATACTATTGTTACAGGAATGCATTACTAGAGCATGGTGCAGGAGCTGGAGGGACACGGAATATATCCGGGAATTCTCCACTTCATGAGGATCTAGAGAAAGAATTAGCCTCCCTACATCAGAAAGATTCTGCTCTCATCTTTACTTCATGTTTTGTGGCGAATGATTCAACATTGTATACACTTGGAAAAGCTTTACCTGGTAAATGTTGTTCTGTCATCTCTCAAATTACATATGTTCATACAGCATTTCCCTTTTAGAAACAAATGATAAATAAAGATCTGAAGAAAGAGAAACATGATATATTTTACATCAACATGTTGTAAAGGTATTTAATAGATGTTAAACGTTCCTTTGAAGTTAATATGTAATTTAAGACAAGCAAAAAGACACCTTATTTGTAAATTTGTTCATGCTAAGTTTAATTATGCAATCAAAGGGCAGTTATTCTGTTGTCTACTCTAAACTTTTGAATTATTAGATTAATCTACCTTTAAGTACATATAGATTAGAATGGATGTTAGTAATTACCAAAAATGTAAAATACTGTTTATTATTACACCATTTTTTTGTTCATATATAAATTCATCTTTTTGTTGTTTGTCCATCTCTCCATCAACCATTATTTCTATACATTTTTAGAAATTCCAAGAAAAAAGATTCTTTGTGATTTTATCCCCTTTATTTTTTCACTATTGACACTTCCATGTATTTAATGTGAACATTTTTACAGCATATTTCTATTGAAGGTTCTGTTAGTCTTAATTGATAACAAATTGCCTGAACATTATTTATATGTATGTCATTAAGTTCACAAAGTTTTGATATTTAATTATAAGTGTTTGATATTTCAGGTGTGCACATATTCTCTGATGCTGGGAACCATGCCTCTATGATACACGGTATACGCACCAGTGGGGCACCAAAACATATATTTCAACACAATGATCCAGATCACCTTGAACATCTGTTGAAACAGGTTGACCCGGCTATACCCAAAATTGTTGCATTTGAAACTGTGCATTCCATGGATGGTATGTTACATATGTTATTATGAATTTAGATAACAACAGACAATTACACTTAATTACATAGTTTCACTGCATCATTCATATTTTAATGATAAAAATACTGAATGTAATAAAAGTATTTTTGTGAAATTTTGGAGAAATGATGGCCAATGTTTTCATAAACTTTAACTGCAGAATCTTTTGAATAAAATTGAAGATTGTATGTTCCAAAGTTCATGAAAACATTTGATCTCATCTTAAAATCTTAATATTCATATAAAAATCATCAAAATATCACTGGAGTTGTGCTATTTTAAAGTTGTTCATTGAATATTCATGTGCATTGTTAGTGGAAATGTTATTAATATCAAACTTCTACTATTTATAAAGCACAATGTCAACCATTTAACCCAAGAGTGCATGAATGAAACATTTTAATTTGAAAGAAAAATACTCAAGTGTAGAAAGGGTTAAGCAAATATGATAAGCATGTTCGTTAGTAATCAGAAAATTTGTTTCGAATACATTTATCTATATGTACATCTGAAAGTTTGTTAATTTATTTCTGACATCAGGTGCTGTGTGTCCACTGAAGGAGCTATGTGAAGTGTCACACAAATACGGTGCTCTTACATTTGTTGATGAGGTGCATGCTGTAGGTTTATATGGTAGGAATGGTGCTGGGGTTGGAGAACGTGACGGTTGTATGGACCAGATTGATATCATCACAGGAACTCTAGGTTTAAATATTTCCTTCTTGTTTTTGTGCTGAAATAATTACTTGCTTGGGTAAAGATAATAATTTAACAGCTTTGTTGTTGTAGGTTTAACAAGTTTATTTATGCCCCCACATAGTGGGAGCATATAGCGTTGCACTTGTCCGACCGTCCGTATGTCTGTCCGTACGTCCCAAAATCTTGTGAACGCAACTCCTCTTAAACCGGATGGCAGATTTTACTTATACTTCCAGGGATGAACAACCTTAATGTGTAGATGGTAGTAAAGGAAGGAATTTTCGCTGCGACAATATTTAACAGAATTATGGCCCTTTGTTGATTTTTTCACTATATACTATGTAGAAATTTTGTGAACGCAACTCTTCTTAAACCGGATGGCAGATTTTGCTTAAACTTCCAGGGATGAACAACCTTAATGTGTAGATGGTAGTAAAGGAAGGAATATTTCGCTGCGACCAAATTTAACAGAATTATGGCCCTTTGTTGATTTTTTCACTATATACTATGTAGAAATTTTGTGAACGCAACTCCTCTTAAACCGGATGGCAGATTTTGCTTAAACTTCCAGGGATGAACAACCTTAATTTGTAGATGGTAGTAAAGGAAGGAATTTTCGCTGCGACCAAATTTAACAGAATTATGGCCCTTTATTTATTAAAAAGTTAAGAAGTATAATGGACTTATGTAATTTAAAAGAGCCCTTTTATAGTCCCTGCATAAAGTAGTAATTGATAAAATTGTGTTGTGTATATGAATGCATGGCTGTCTGATTATTTGTCCATTGTTTATATTGTACATTTTTCTGATTTTTCAAATCAAGATGTTTATAACCATTAATACTGTGAATTCACTAAATTTGTGGGCATGAAATTTTGTTGTTTTGTTACAAAGAACATTTTCATTGGTTCTTAATTTTGTGGACTGTTTATTTTTTTCAAAAGGTAAAGGTAAATAATGTGATGCAAAATAATCTTACAGCTGACGAGACGTTATTTCCTTGGTCCTTAAATTCGTGGATTGGCCTTTCCACAAAAAAAAACAAACACAAAAACCCACAAAAATTATGCCGCACGAATAATAGTGATTCTGCAGTAATATATGATGTGATTTGTAATCATTGTAAAATGCCTTTGAATGTTCAGTCCCTTCTCCCAGTAAGTAAGTAGTATAACTTTTGAAATACTATAATGTTAACATTGTATTTTACAGGGAAGGCATTTGGTAATATAGGTGGTTACATAGCTGGATCAGCCAGCACTGTAGACATGATCAGAAGCTATGCTGCTGGATTTATATTTACAACATCTTTACCACCTACAACTTTAGCTGGTTCCCTGGCTTCTATTAAGGTATGAATATCAAGTTTCCATTGTAATACAAGCTGGTTCCCATGCTAAATTATGTCTGCTGACATAAACTACATTTTGTGATTATCAAGATTTTTTTTTCTGAGAAAAAAAAAAATCAAATTCTAGAAAGAAAATAAAAATTGAGGATCATTCATACCCTTAGCATAAATAAAATATTAACATTGGTGAAGTTGTATTCCAAACTTCATTTCTCACAATATAACTGCTCTTTGATCATCTATTTTCATGTAAATAAAGCACCCAAATTTTTTTCTTTTCTAAATTAAATTTCTTTTAGCCGTGTTCGTTGATTACATGATTAAATATTTTTTGCTGATTGTGTGTAAATTGTGTTCTACAAATTGAATTGTTATGATGTATTGCCATATTTGTAATGATGAAAATGTTGTTTATCAAAGTTTATAACTTAGTTATCAGTTTTATTATACCAGATTTAATTCCTTAGTGAGTGTGATCAGATCATTAACACTAGTGGGATGTGTTATAATTAGATATTTTTAAGTTTAACCAAGTTTTAATAAAGATAAATGGGGTTTACAAGAGCTGAAAATTTGTAATTTAAATTTTTTTGTTTTGAAGCAATGTTGGCCGAATTATCACAAATTACATTAAAGAATTTAAAATTGGATGAAAATGAAATAACAGTTTTAATATACAAACATTTGCAGTTAGAACAAATATTCAATAATAAGTAAGAAAAAGAACTTGTGTTCAAATATTAGTTAAAATATTAGTATGTTTTATTACTTGTTGTAAGAAATAGGCGAATTGTATTAAAATATGGAACCTGTTTCAAAAGTTTACAGACCATAATATTTCAGTGTAAAGTTTTACTTACTGCAAACATTTTAAACATTAAAATGTTATCATATTATAATTATATAAGTATCTTTCATTACTTTTTGTCAAAATTTATCTGAAATTATGACATTATGCCCAGCAAAGGGTATAAATGAATGCACAAGTGAATGTCAAAATAAGTTTTCATTTTGCCATAATTCCCTTTAATATAAAAACTTATTTCACATTAACAATAATCAACACATGGATTCAAACGGAATTTTTGTAAATATCTATAAGAATTTACCTGCAATGTTCATTTTGTAAAAAGAGTGGGGGCAGTCTTTTATATTTCAGGCAGATTTAAATTTTATCCTGAACATTTTCCAATATAAACTGTTGGTCAAGCACCATTTAAACAGTCAATCTTTCGAAATATTTAGTCAGTTCAGCTCAACTTAAATATGAAAATATGAGCATAATGTCACTTTAAAGTACATTTGTGAAAATCAAGTGTCTGTTATTTCAGGTGTTAAGAAGTGATGAAGGGAGACAACTGCGGTTCCGTCATCAAGAATCTGTGAGATATTTGAGAGATAGGTTGGTACAGGAGGGGATACCAGCGTTACACTGCCCCAGTCATATCATTCCTATTCATGTAAGTCCCTATATTTTTTCTCTAAAAAGTCTAAACTAATGTAGAGGTGAGAAGTTCTACCAGGGTATTTGCCTGTGTCTGAATTTCTGAGTTCTCCTACCTTAGTAAAAGCTGGGAAGTTTACCTTTTGAAATTGGAATGAAATCCACCAGCTGTGAAACCACCTGCCTTTTTCTGCTAGTTAAGTGATATGTGTTATTTTATAATTTATGATTATCATACAGATAGTGACACTGTTATGAAAGTATTTGAAACTTTTGATATACAAATTTTGTGAATTTACTGTAGTTTTCATTATTTCAGTTCACAGTTATGAGGTATTTGAGTACAACACTTGAATCCATAAGAGAATTATACTATTCTCAATGAAGAAAAAAACATATTTGGAAAATGAATTAAAATTTTCAGAAACTTACCTGTATATTTATTTGAATGTGTTTGCAGGTTGGAGATGCTGCCTTGGCGACTAAATTGAGTAATGATTTAATACAGGAGCACAGTATCTATATACAAGCTATAAACTACCCTACTGTAGCACTGGGTGAGGAACGCCTCCGTATAGCACCAACACCACATCATACCATTGAAATGATGGACGACCTTGTAGAGAAACTTGTCCACGTCTGGAAGAAAAATAATCTGGAGCTTCACAAGAATGTATGCCCCAAGTCGTGTGAGTTCTGCCACAAGCCACTGGAGTTTGAGCGTTTCTTCAGCCGTGAACCGATCTGTGGTCGGTCAAACTGCACTTACTCCTCGCTACAGTCGACACTCGTTGCTGCTTGAAAACATCTTAGACATGTAACAAAAACTGGCACAATGTCATGACATGATACAATAAATATGACAAAATGATATATTTTTAATAGCAATTTATACATATATTTAAGTATTGATATAGCTTTGCTTAATTTCCATTATTATACATATTTTATATAAATTGAGGAAGTTGATAGGTTGCACAAAAATATTCATTAAATATAGGCTGTATTTAAACGGAAAGCTATTTTTCTTTTTCTCTTTTGATCTTTTAACACAAGATAATATGATGCATTATTTTATATATTTGAAAGAAACTTCAAGTTATGAAATTATTGTTTCTAAGTATAATGCAATGTTTTTATTAAGGCATGGTTTGACAATAGATGACTATTTTTTAAATATCGATAATGTGACATTTTTCATACTTACCATCTTCACTTAAATTATTGTGTTGACATTTTATAGGTTATTTTAAAATGTTATTATGAACAAAATACACATTTATTATTTAAAAGCAAAACATCCTATATAAGAATATATTAGAGAATGAACATAAAGATGTTACAATATTCATGTATGTTTGTCTTTTTATTCAACACTAAAAAATTCAGGATAACTCTGATAAATGTTGAAATTAGGTTTAAATTATTTCACTGCCTTTGCTTTCATTTATACAGGTGTTGGAAATCTTTTATTTTTTATTTATTTTTTTATATATATCACATTTATTGATTAATTTTTATCCAATTAATTATTATTACAGCAGCGCTGTAATAAAAAATGCACATGGTAGGAAACCATCCATTGTGATCAGGAGACAGACATTTTATTGGCTCTTTAAATCATTTACAGTACATTTATTTCAGTAATAGAAATCAACTTAAATTGGAAATAAAATGTAATATATCAGCTATCAACATTTAATGTAAGCTTGCACAGTCTCTATTTCATTGTGCACATCCCCGTTGCAGACTAGGTCAAATTTTAAATGCAGATGATTTTATTTGCAAATGCAATCAAGTAATGATTTGAGTGTTAATTTTCATTATTTTTCTCTGGGTTTTTATTTTGACTGCAAGGAAGATTTAGCATTTATATTTCCCACTTTGAGAATAAACGTAATTTTGAAGTGATATTTCTTAATTAAATTCCTTAAGAATTGGATTTGTGGGTTGATTTTAAATGGTTTTAATTTTAACAATAGAAATTGCCCTATATGTGCCTTTCAAATGAGCACTTCTGTTTGTTATAATGTGTTACTTGTTAAATAGAAATATTAAGTTTATTTGTTGATTATTTTTAAGAATATTTTATAATTATTGGGTAGAAATCTTCTTTTATTAAATATAGAATTGTATGAGACAGTATGAAAGGGTATGTTGCATACATCTTTGATTGTAAGTGTATTTGTGAAAACTATTTATTTTTTTCACTTTAAAAAATTCCTTTTGTACAAGTGAAGAGGTCAGTAATGGATAGCATCTGTTTTAGAATGAAACTATTTTGGACAATTGTTTCTAGTTGAATTCATCTTAATTATGTGATAATGTGAATGAAAGATGTTGCACTTTTCATTGTCTCTTTAAACAAAAAATAAAACTAAGACTGTGACTAACAACAATTTTTATTTGTATTTTTTACTTTTGAGTGGTCTCCCTTTTCAAGATTTTTCTCCTTCAAAGAGATTGAATATTAAGTGCATAAGAAATATATTTTTTACTAATGTCATAATTGCTTAAAAAACAACAATAAAAGCATCTTTAACAATGTAAAAAGTATATTTGACAAGTTATTTCAAATTACATTGCATTATATGTTTCCAAGAATTTCTCTCAGTTTTGTTCACCTTTTGTCAAAATATCCTGATAGTAGTTATGACTGTAAAAATTGAATTTTGTTCCTGCAATTGAAAGGAGTGGATGTGAGACAGGAAGTTTGTATGTGATATATTTAAAAGTATATTGTTTTACGGTGGTTTGCAATATGGGTTGAAAAGGCAATCTTTAGAAATAAGAAGTTATGTATGAAGCTATATAGTGAGTGGTGTATATAAGTTGATATGTCAGAATGAAAGTTTGAATTATGTTGGCAATAAAACTGTTGATAAGATCAGATATGTTGACCATTTAAATAAAGTATACATGAAAATAGAAAATATGAGTATAAGTTAATGTGAGTTGATTTTCGTAATTGATATGTTTTTACAGGGTGTGTTTCATGTGTATCATTATTATTTAAGCATTTTAAGCTTTTATTATATTGAAGTTAGTTGTTCTTATACTTCTGTACCAGATATTTTTTAATATTTTTTTATAGACTCTTTTGAGTTAGGAGGTTCATACAAGTACAAGGTCATGGAAAATTATTGACTCACTTTAGCAATAAAAGAAGATATATAACTGCACAAATTTGTAAAAATTGAAAAGATCTAAACTACAAGAAATATAAAAAAAATGAATATCTCAACAATCAAAACTGATACTAGTAACTGAGTGGTTTAGGTTTGAACTTTGGATAATGTAGTTTTATTGTATTAACATGTAGACATGCATGTCAGATTTTACCATGGTTGACTTGTTTTCTATGATTTCTGTATTATTTATTTAAAGTTCTATTTGATTTAGTCTTCTATTCACCTGTTCCTTTTTGTAAATTAGATATAGACTTGTCCTCTTCTTTTGCTTTATCTTCAGCTTAGAGGCATGCTTGTATGGAAATTATGGTTTAATTTTTATTTTTGCAATAAACAATATGTTATGTTTAATATTCATGTTTGAATATATGTGATAAGGCTGTCCATTCATGATTAACATGTAGGGTGAAAGAAGGGTATAATGGGTTGAGAGTATGAAATGTTAATGTTGTTATAAAGTAAAAACATAATACATCAGGAAACATCAAGTGAGAGAGTATGAGAAAGAAGGTGAAGGGGAGGGGGGAATTGATGCAGAGAAAATGAGATGGTAGGGGAATTGATGTGGGGAATGTGAGTTCAGAGCTAATAGGAGACAGTTGAAATAAGGTTGTGAGAAGTTGGGAGAAAACGATTTCTGTGCAGAGCTACAGACACGAAATCAAAAGATTTTATTATAAAAAATTGAAAATTTTCAATTTTAAATATAATATAAATTTAATTTAAATATTACCAAATAATAATTGATAAACATTGAGACTTCTCGTAATTTTGGTGGTAGTCATTTGTAACTGTGGTTTTATCTAAACACAAAATGTTTACACTATCACTCCTGTAGATGATTTCTTTAAAGTTTTTGGAAATTATTTGTCAACATCCTTGTTTTGTACGGTTACATCTATGTACAAAAATAAAATAAAATGTTAAACCTATTCAGTGTTGATTATGTTTGATAAGTTGTTAATAAATATTTCAGGTTTCTGGTAGAAATACTAGTTTGTGGGCCTGGAACATATTTCATCTTTACTTCACTGACTACTCATGTGCCTTATGACTTCATTTGTGTGTTAATCCCCTCTGGGATATGGTAAGAGCCTCTCAACTTGAACAACTCGAAATGTAATTCAGGCCCCGTGTTTCTTGATAAAAGGATGGTATGATCGTGATTTTATTCGTATAATTCAGGCCCCGTGTTTACTAAGAAAAGGATGAAATGATCGTGATTTTATTCGTATTTGCTAAAATGAAATGGTACATAACCATAATATAAGGTATTGCTGATTAGCAAAGAAACAATCATATTTTAGGATAAAATCCGACAAATATGGAAACAAAACAAAAAAATCTGGTCAAAATAGGATTCAATGTTAGGATCAAGATCAATATTTGGGTGAACTGTAAAGTGCTCATATCTTTTAAAATAACAATTTATTATGCCCCCACTTCGAAGAAGAGGGGGTATTTTGCTTTGCACTTGTCGGTCCGTTGGTCCGTAGACCAAATGGTTTCCGAGTGATAACTAAAGAACCCTTAGGCCTAGGAACTTCAAACTTGGTATGGTGATTGGTCAAGATCAGTAGATGACCCCTATTGATTTTGGGGTCAAAGGTCAAGGTCACATTGACCTTGTAAGCAAAAACGGTTTCCGATCAATAACTAAAGAACCCTTAGGTCTAGGAACTTCAAACTTGGTATGGTGATTGGTCATGATCAGTAGATGACCCCTATTGATTTTGGGGTCAAGGGGTCAAAGGTCAAGGTCACATTGACCTTGTAGGGAAAAACGGTTTGCGATCAATAACTTAAAAACCCTTAGGCCTAGGAACTTCAAACTTGGTATGGTGATTGGTCATGACCAGCAGATGACCCCTATTGATTTTGGGGTCAAGGGTCAAAGGTCAAGGTCACATTGACCTTGTAGGTAAAAACGGTTTCCGATCAATTAACTAAAAACGCTTAGGCCTAGGAACTTCAAACTTTGTATGATGATTGGTCGTGACCAGCAGATGACCCCTATTGATTTTGGGATCAAGGGGTCAAAGTTCAAGGTCACATTGACCTTGTAGGTAAAAACGGTTTCCGATCAAGAACTAAAGAACTCTTAGGCCTAGAAACTTCAAACTTGGTATGATGATTGGTCATGACCAGCAGATGACTCCTATTGATTTTTGGGTCAAGGGGTCAAAGGTCAAGGTCACATTGACCTTGTAGGTAAAAACGGTTTCCAATCAATAACTAAAGAACGCTTAGGCCTAGAAACTTCATACTTGGTATGATGATTGGTCATTGTCAGCAGATGACCCCTATTGATTTTGGGGTCAATGGGTCAAAGGTCAAGGTCACATTGACCTTGTAGGTAAAAACGGTTTCCGATCAATAACTAAAGAATGCTTAGGCCTAGGAACTTCAAACTTTGTATGATGATTGGTCATGACCTGTAGATGACCCCTATTGATTTTGGGGTCAAGGGGTCAATGTCATATTGACCTTGTACTTAATGACGGTTTCAGACCAATAACTCAACAACTCAAGTTGCCTTGGCTGATATTTTTATATTAAACTAAAAATGCTTTTGGTATACACATTTGAAGGTCTTGTGTAATATAACAACTTGGCTGTCATTAATGAGGCCTACATGATTCATAAAATTTATGCATATATTATTTGGTAAGATTTGTAATAACTTAAATTGCTGCACACAACCTATAGGGAGGGTCACAATAATTATTACCTTGTGACTAGTCATGACCAGTAGATACTAGATAACCCTTATTAATTGTTTGTTCACTGGGTCAGAAGATATGCATAATAACCTGATCACATGACTTATTGGCTGCCGACAGGGGGCATACATGTTTTACAAACATATCTTGTTATTATAAAATTTCATAATTATGCTACTTTAAGTCCAATTTTATTAAGTTAATGCTAAATAATAACATCTATGAGGATAGATAATGGAGAATTATTGAGGTTTTTTCTAATTTGATCCTGATCTTGATTTTTGATAACACAGGACCAGGTACCAACCTGAAACTTCATAGTTAAATAGAATTCATTGAGTTGTGGACGTCTACCAAAATTGTCCATATACAGCCCTGGGGTCAAAATTGGCCCCGTCCTGAGGTATTTGATTTTCATTATGTACATATAGTATTAACTTAAAAAATTCTTTTCTGAAGGTACAAGGCTTAGAGCTTTGATATTTGGTGTTATAATATCATCTATAGGTCAGCTACCAAAGTTTGCCCATAGTGTTAACATTTTGCCATGCCCTAGGGGACACAGTGACCTACTTTCTTGGCCTTTGACGTACAACCATGAAATTAGGACCAGACAAATTGAAATGTAAAATTAATCTTAATATCAGCTGACGTAGATTTTGACAAGTGACCCACTTTTTTGTCCCTAGATGTACAGCTATGAAATTTGGACCATGTACACAGTTTTAGATGTGAAATTGAACTTAGATAACTTACCTAGATTTTGATGATGTGACCTACTTTCTAGTCCTTTCATGTACAGCCATGAAATTTAAACAATGTGAACTGTTTAAAATGTAAAATTGAATGTTTTATATCAGCTGACCTAGTTTTTGACAAATGACATTCTTTCTTTTGATGTATAGCTATGAAAGTTGAACCGTGCGCACAGTTTTAGATGTAAAATTGAACTTTGATATCAGCTTACCTAGATTTTGATGTTGTTACCTACTTTCTTGTCATATGCTGTACATCCATGAAATTTGAACCATGGAAACAGTTTGAGTTGTTTAATTGAATTTTAATATCAGCTGACATAGATTTTGACTAGTGATCTACTTTCTTGTCCTTTATTGTACAGTCCTGATATGTTGACTATGTACACATTTACAGATGTAAAATTGAACTTTGATTATCAGCTTACCTAGATTTTGATGATAAAACCTACTTTCTTGGCTTTGATGTACAACTATGATATTTGGACCATGTGAACAGATTATGTAAATTAAACTTCTGTAGCATCTGAGTTGACAAATGGCATATTTTTGTGTCCTTTGATGTACAGCCATAAAATATGGGCCATGTGCGCTGTTTTAGATGTTAAATTGAACCTTGGTATTAGCTTACATGGATTATTATGAACTGACCTGACCTCCTTTGGGTTTTTAAATACAGCTATCATATTTTGACCATGTGCACAATTTCAGGTGTCGAACTGAAATTTGATATCAAATGACGTAAATATTGACTTAATGACCTTCTTTTCCTTTTTGATGTACAGCAATGAAATAAAGGCCCATGTATATAGTTTAATTAAAAATACATTTTGCATGAAATATCGTCTAGTGACCAACATCGTTCAATTCTTGCAATAAACACTAACTGTCGCTGCTTTTACACAAATAAAAGTATGTCCTCAGGTAAGCGATTTCGGACCAATGTCCCCTTGTTTATGCTTCATATGCAATTTTATATATTGATTTTCTCTATCTTTATAAATAGCTCTGGTAGACCAGCTTTGTACTTTTTGGGTTAGTGCCCTTTGATGTGTATTTAAATACCAGCGTGTACAAATGGTCATATTTGTATCTAACTTCTGTTCGTCCTTGGATTTAACAGTCTGCGACTGCTTCTTGCTATTTACTGTACTAAAGGAGTTGAAAAAAATATTGACTGTAAAGTTACTCACATTCAATGTTGAAATAATAGTTCAACAAACTAAGTCAAAGAATAATTATGAAGAAATTTCGAAAGACCATGCATTTACAAAATGTATATGAAATAGATGTCTGTATCCGTTATATAACGCACTGTCCCTGGTAATACCAAAATTCACATTGTTACAGTCGTATGAACTCGTCTGTAAGTTTACTAGAAGATGAAAATTTAAACGCAAGTTGTAGGATTGTTTATTAGAATAATTACGGTGGTACACTGTTAATTTAACAGATATTACCTAACAATACAAGACATTTGTTGTATTCAGTCCACGTGATCTTATATTAATGGTCAATGCTATTTTTGGCAGACTTTATCTAATTGCGTGCAATTAAAGATAACAGAAATAGGCCTATGGTAAAATAGCCAAATGAAAATCAGTTTAACTTGTAATATTGCAGAAATAGCATCAGCTCATTGACATCGTAATAGATAAAATTAGCTTTCTGTTAAAATGTTACATGCGGTGCCAAATGGAGATATCTATGAATTATTCTATCAATATGCTAAAATGAGAATTGCGGCAAAATGTTGCATGTTTATTTCTACTACTTGGGCATTTTGTTCATTACTCTATATTTTGACAATAACATTACAAATCTTTCAAGAATTTCATAAGATAAAATATTTAAATATAATGTGTATTTTATAAACTGTAACTCAATACTTAACCATAGATTAACTAAATATTTAGATTATAAATTCTTAATGCATATCATGCCAGTTTTCGAAAAGGATTTTCTTGTCAGGATCATATTTTTACCCTTCATTCAATAATCAACATCTTAAAACATAAGAAGAAAAACAATGTTCATATATAGGTTTTTTCTCCGGCATTTGACAAAGTAACTAGGATTAGTCTTTGGCTCAAATTGTTGAATTCTAACATCAATGTGAAGGTACTCTATTGCGTTTAGGATGTAGCTGACTAAATCATGACCTTTTTATAAAGTGTACTACTAATTCACCAAACTGCACATGCGACAAAATAGAGACAACTAGCCATTATCCTCTCTACTGTCATATCTTTGACACTATCAAACAAGCAACTTACCTTGCTTAACGACGCTTCAAAATCTTCTATATGTAACTGAAAACTTTAATACTGTTGATCAAGCAGCTGTTTTTAAACGTATACAAGACGTAGCCTCGTCGTAGCGGCCCAATATTAATGTTAACCCTAGTAATTTCCTAAGTCCAAATTCCCAGCATTGTAACATCAAAACCTAATA